GCCATCCCCTCCTGGCCCCTTCTGAGCCGGCGGGGCCACGTGTTTCAAGGGAAGTATCCTGCAAATGATTTTCATACCGATCAGTCAACTGACTGATGGCACAATCCCATAATATACGATTCAGTTAAGCGATATCTCATACCCACAAAATTAAATAATATGTACGCATAATATGCTAAACCCTGAATGCTCGGCCTCCTTGGGCGAACCCACGTCCTCGCTCATTGTGGTTCACTTCCACTCTACTGAAGAGGGTCATGTTTATGCAGTTATTCAGAGTAAATCCTCGTTTGCTGCACTGTTTTCAGCTCCTGATTCTTTTTGAGATTTCTGATATCGCCTACTAAAAATTGTCATGGTCATATCCAGTTACTCTTAGATGCGATCCTCAGTAAAGTTACATGTGAAGTATCGAAGGGCAGGGCAATTACGTTTGTTTTTATTCTGTGTGCCCGTATTTACTTAGAAATTGGTGCAATTAACTTTTAGAAATATTTATTATCGCGAGATGATTTGTGGCTGCGGTTGTGTATCCTAAATAAGTGCCAAGCCTTTCAGTAATACTGAGAGCAAAGCTACGAGACAGAAACTATTTGTTCCCTAGGCAACCTGTAAACATAACAGCCCAAAATTACGAAAGATTTCGCGATGGACGTAATCGCGTCAGTTGCTGCGACGACATCCAACGACGAACTGTATCCTGCAGAAAATATTCTAGACATAAAAGCGAAGAATTTTTGGATGACCACAGGGATATTCCCTCAGATGGTGATATTGTCACTCAAATCCCGAACTAAAGTGAAAGAGGTGAAATTAGTGTCCGCAGGTTTAAAGTCCATACTGGTAGGCTGGTAGAGTGCATACCATTTTTTAGCTTGAAAGTTCACCAGATGAAAAGTCAAGTAAATTCGAAACTGCTGTCGAAATGAATCTTGCTACCAATGACGGTCAAATACAAATAACGAAACTTCCCCTAAACGGGGTTGCTTGTCATCGAATTAAATTAACTATTTTGAGCGGCTATGATCATTTTGTTGCAATTTATAAACTTATTATAGAGCCAATTTAATTTTTCCGCGTGTGTTTCTCCTTTTCTTTCCTGTTTGAGCATTTAGCTCTCATATATGAGAGCTAAATTATAACAGTGTCTAATCTTTGCGAATTACAGTTAACAATTAAATTCCGAAGTATCACTATGCACGAAGAGCGGGATCGTGATAGTATCCTGCAGAAAATATATAACTTGTGGGTGTTTTCATAAGCCCTTACTATAAAAGTATGGCCCGATAGCAAATCTCTGGAGTTCTCTCGGGTTTGGCACTTGTAATCTCTGAGGCCGCTCCCCAGGTAACATCGTCTCCTGGCAAACGTGCGCGCACGCAAAAGGTCTTCTTGCTCTGCTCATTTTCTCGCATGCTTTCTTTATCGAATCATAGCGCACGCAGTCGGTATCGCCAGAACAGTCCCATTCCCACGAGATGTGCTCTTCTGGCAGTCACGGCAACCTGGTCGATTGACGACAGTCAATCAAATTACCGGATAATAAACATGCTGTGTACTTAAAAGTGCCCCCCCCTGTTCTGCACAAGTGATCCACGAGCCTCTTGAATCCGATGTTAAGAAACCGCGGGAAATGAAGGTAGTTGCGGAAACTACCTTAATGGCTCATTTCTACATTCGTGCCCTTCAGGAAAATTGGAGACGCCAATATTATCATCTACGCGCTTAGATAAGCAACATATAAATCGCTATTGAATATGTATAGTCATCTCTTGTCTAGATGTTCCGTAGTTTGTCATTGATGCACCGTCAGTCAGCATGACTAATGGGTACCGACCGCAAGTTTGTAAAATTTCACCAAATTGGTGTACAGAATCTGATCACTCGGACTGGCACCTGAAAATCATTGATTTTCTCATACGGATTGAACGTGCTATCGGCCCAGTTCTTTAGAGAACTTGCTCTAAGCATATTCGACTTCTACAGTTACCCCACCTTATTAACGTGTAAGTGATGGAGGTATTAGTTACTGAAGCATCTTTGTCCGGATCACCTTCATAACCTAGATGACAAACTATCCGACTCAGGGTCGACAATCTTCTTTTCAGATAGATACCATCTGAGCTGTGGATCTGTACCTTGCAAGCAGATAGGGGTCTTTCGGTTCCAGGCGTCATGGACAGCGTATCAGTCGTTTCAATTTAGGAAAGCCCGCTAGCAGTAAATAAAGCAAGACCGTGTCTCCAATTTCTGAGGACTGTTTATCAGGCAATGCACGCATATATCAATTCGCATTTATGGGAGCAGTTCCCCTAGACAAAAGCTAAGGGCGTTTTCTATTAAAAAAAACTCGCAAGCTAACAAACTATCTGGATAATTTAGACAGAATTCTAACGCCCTATCAGTTAAGCTGTCGATCCACAAATAGGTCTACATCGTTGCGTTTCGAATGTTTAAGTAATTACGGTATTAAGCATATACTTACGGTAAGTTACCTTGAAAAATAACGTCCAGTAACCCGTTAGCCACCCTTGAAAATAAAATTAATCGACTGAAATCTTAATTTAAAAAGGGATCGATTTTGTGGTGTATTTTTGGCTTCTGCTGATCAAACGAAAATTTTTATTGTCTATATGTGAACTGATAAAGAAACTCTTTCGAGACCAGGTTTATCTTTCCTCAAATAAAAATCTGAATGCGAAATAAATATTAATTTTCGAGCATTCGCTGATTAGAGGCATTCGGAGCGTCTGCCATAGTGATGACTCCGGGGTTTTCGAACCTACCAATCAGCTAATTTGGTCCAGAATTGACTAATTTCGGGAGGTACAGCGTACATGCCCCACCATAAGAGGCAAAGTAATTAGGTCTATTCAAGTATCATCCAAGCCAGGTGGTTGAGAATTCACCATGGAATTGTCTTATAACAGACAAGTGTTTTGTAGAAAATGCCACCTCACTAGAAAGCATAAGAATTGCATTTCCAGTATCTCCTGTGTATAATAAAGTTTAATTCGAGTCATTTTCTATAAATATTCAGGTGTTTGCGGCGTTTACTAATTAACCTATTACTTAAAACGCATAGGTGAAAAGCAAACGCCCAATACTTGTCCGAAAAGTGAAAACGGGTTGTCGGACCACATTTTACCAAGATTCTCCTGGTGAATTACGTAAACCTCGACTTGAATGCCATTATACAGTCGTTAAGGGAAAAGTGCGACGACATCTCAGACTTTCAATGAACGACAATATCTTTGGTAGGCCCCTCGTCACCCGTATCACGAGTGTCGGCCTATAGAGGGCGTCACCGCCATCTCACTGGGCACTGTGAAGACTCCGGCTTGAGTACTGGTTCGGTATATTCTATTATAATTATGTCTTGTTGCCACTGATCGACATGCCTGAATAATACTTTTTGTGAAATGGAGATCACCTATATTTGGCATGAAACCCCTTATATAAAGCATAATATGGCAGCCCACTTGGATTCGCGCCGACACTCCGGTGTCTTGGTGGCACAAGCAGGAAGGATTATACCGCACCCTACAAAC